GAGCCGCGGGGCAGGCTCCTGGGCAGCGGCCCCTTCCCCCTGTTCCTCGGCTCCACAATGAAGCCGCCCGCCGCCTGGCCCTGCACGGCCTGGGCTTGGGGTTCAGATCTAGGCCACGCTTTCTGTCCTGGCCCCCCACCCCTAACTGAGAGAATAGGTGCCGAACAAAGGGTGGAAGGAGCCTTACCTGCCTCCCGCTGCACCTCCTCCCGGGCTTGTCTTTGTCTGCGGGCCTTGTTGAAAGCAACATCTAAACATGCGGGTTTGCTCCCGAGACAGCCGCCGGCCTGCTCTCTGCTCCCGGAGCGGGGTCTCGGCGGCCGCCCTTCCGCCCGGTGCCTCCTGCCCAGCCCTGCAGCCTGTCCGATGGGATGAGCGGCTGAGGAGGACGCCCCCCTGGTCCTGGTCTTGGTCCTGGCCCTGGTCCTGGTCCTGGTCCTGGTCCTGAGCTGCCCTGCTCGGGGCTCTGGGTGCAGGGTCCCGACCAGCAGCGCGGGCCTCTGCCTTGTCTGCGCCTCCGCCCGCCCGGGGCTCGGGTTCCCAGGCTTCTGTTTGACCTTTTGAAGGGAGATCAATCCAGGGGCTTAGTCCCGAGCCCTGCGGAGATGGGCGGCCCGCGACCTGGCTCGGCTTTGCAGCTCTTAGCTCTTTGTCACTTACCTTTTCCTTCAGGGATCTCTTTACACCTCCCGTTGAGAAGGAGCGCTCTGCTCTGTGATTAGGGTGAGCACACAGGGGTCAAAAGGTAAAGAGAAAGTTGCCTGCTGGCTCAGTTTTAAATTAGAACAGAAGGCGAGGATGCTAGTTGCATAGCATGGGAATGTTTAAGAATGCCCAGGGCGCCCTGACCGGTGTGGCTCAGTGGATAGAGCCTCGGCCTCGGACTGAGGGGGTCCCGTGAGGGTTCGATTCCGGTCAAGGGCATGTACCTTGGTTGCGGGCACATCCCCAGTGGGAGGTGTCGCAGGAGGCGGCTGATCGATGTTTCTCTCTCATCGATGTTTCTAACTCGCTATCCCTCTCCCTTCCTCTCTGTAAAAAATCAATAAAATATGTTTTAAAAAAAAGAATGCCCAGGGTTACTTGTCTCAGCTAAGGTTTCCTCAGAAAAGACAGGTGCAGTCTTGCTCTTTCCCACTAGGCTAGATGGTAGCTGGTCCTTCCATCTCGGAGGGCCTGTGAAGACATCTGTGCATCTGTGCCCTGTCCCTCGCAGAAGCAGAACGCACGAGCTCGCTCTGTTTGCCCATGCTTGCCCTCTCGGTCTGCTTGCCCTACCTCACTTCCTTGCACCTTTCTTAAGCCACATGATAACGGCGAAGCTTGGCCTTCCACAAAGTTACCCCAAGAAATACACTGTTGTCTCACTTAGAGCCTCAAAGGTATTGCTTCCCTGGCCTGAACTCAAGGAATCTTCAGACTTTTACAGCCCTCAGGGTAGAGATCCAATGTCAGGGTGTACCTGGGCTGGGGGCAGCACAATTGCAACTTCCTGGTGAGGCGCGTCGAGGGTCTGTCTCCCTTCTGCCATTTTCTTTATAGAAACTAGACATGTGGGGGGAGAAGACACAATTTTCTCTGCCCCAGATGTTTCCAGAGCTCCTGGGGAAGAAATAGGGAAGTGGTGGACAATTTACCTGGGGTCTATTTTTCTTTTCTTTCCCTCTATTTCCCCAGTATATACAAGCTGAACCACCCACCAACAAGTCCCTGTCTAGCCTGGTTGTACAGTTGCTACAATTTCAGGAAGAAGTTTTTGGCAAACATGTCAGCAATGCACCGCTCACTAAACTGCCGGTGAGTGCAAAAGCCAGGGGGTGGATCCTCAAAACTGGAGAAGGCGTTGTTTTGTTTTTTTGGGGGGGGGGGGGTGTAAATTTCATGATTTTTGAAATTTGGGTAATTTTTTACCATCCCTATCCCTGGCCAGGACATTGATGCCTTGACCTAGTCCCCAGTTTACCAATCCCTTTGTCTTAGTAATACTTTGTTCAACAGGTTATTTCAGAGTGTGTGAGCTCGGTGCATGAAACTCTCATGGCATGGATTTGCCCGGGCTTGTGTTCAAATCCTGACTCTGTCACTTGGTGTCTCTGTGACTTGGCCAAGCAGTTTACACCCTTTGCATCTTGGTTCCTTCATCTCTAGATAGGATTAGTGTGACTACACTATGACCGTTCTGTAATGGTCAGTGAGGGAACCCAGTAAGTGCTTGGCACAAAGTGGGGCTTTGTGAATTTTCGTTTCTTTCTCTCCCCTCTTCCAGGCTACATGATACAATGGCACAGGGGTTAAAGAATTCCAGGTTGAGAGGGAGATCACTTTAGCATGGGATTTTGTGAAAGGATTAAGTAATAAGAGAATTTAGGATGTAACTCTTACATACTTCTTCCCTGTCTCAATTTTGTAGATCAAATGTTTCCTAGATTTCAAAGCAGGAGGCTCCCTGTGCCACATACTTGCAGCTGCCTACAAATTCAAGAGTGACCAGGGATGGTGAGATGCCCTCTCTTGATGCTTTTTATATGTAGTTTAGAGGGATTTTCCTCAGGTAAATTTTTCCTCAGGGTCTTTCTGGGGTGGCAGAGCTTAAGTAGACATTTTTATGAGTCTCTTACTTTGCTAGGTCAGTAGGCCTGACTTGCTAGGTCAGAAAAAGGGCTGGGAGTCAGAACCAAAATAGTCTCCAAGACTGAGTGAGTATGTGTGTGTGTGTCAGTATGTGTATTGTAGAGGAAAGGGGATTCTTAGGTTGGCATCTCAAACTTTACTTTGTCCTTTGGACTCAGTATAGAGTGAGTTGAGATCAGTAAACCCCAGATTCTAGGCAGTTTTGACAATAGCCGTGAATGGGATTGCCTCCTAGTTTCCCAGGTTAAATAGTCACATACCCTAACCTGATCCCCTGAACTCAACTATATCACTCACTGGATTATTGCCTCTTCATAGGCGGCGTTACGACTTCCAGAACCCATCACGCATGGACCGCAACGTGGAAATGTTCATGACCATCGAGAAGTCCTTGGTGCAGGTACTGGTCAGGAACCTGCCCCCTTTCACCTCCCTTCCCTCAGCAGGAATCCAAAACACCCTCCCCATAATCTCACTCCATCTACTTCTTCTCCCCACAGAATAATTGCCTGTCTCGACCAAACATTTTCCTGTGCCCCGAAATTGAACCCAAACTGCTAGGAAAATTAAAGGACATTATCAAGAGACACCAGGTGAGTGGGTGGGTCAGGAGAGGTTTTGGAAAGTCCATGACCCTTTTCCTGACGTTTCCGTTCAATAAATAGCCCTGAGGGGCCATGTGTTCTGCTGCAGAGGTGCCTCTGCCTACTTGGAAAATGACTAGACTTGGAGCCTTGGGCCACTCTTTCTCTGTCTGCTCCTCCCATTTTCCAGTCTTGACAGGTCTGAGTCACTGTTCCTAGAGACTCTTAGTCTGGGGGAAAAGCTTTTACTTCCAATGAACTTGGTATTGCCTGAGTTCAGAGAAATGAAATCTTTGCTCTTTGGAACTCTAGCATAGGAAGCAGATGTCATTGCTAAAGACACACAGTCAACTTTACATTTCCCATGTGTGGATTATTTACTCAGAGAGATTATCTGTAGCAGTTTTTAATTCTTTGACTTTTCTTCATTATTAGCACAATCCCAGCTATTTTCCTCCGCCATTCAGCTAGTGTGTGCTTAGTAGAGAGGGCAACTCACTTTAATACCATTCTGAGCAAAATATGATTAGGAAGGCAGATCTGTGGTTAAATCTTATTTTGGCTTATTTATGCTGATGAGTGATTTAGAGGGGGGTATATTTACCTCCTTTTTTGTGCCATCCAGGGAACGGTCACTGAGGATAGGAACAGTGCATCCCATGTTGTGTATCCTGTCCCAGGGAACCTGGAAGAAGGTGAGACCTGGCTTTCCTGGGCACCTCAGTGAATGGCTTGGACTAGGAGGTGGAGGACTGCTCAGATCCCATGCGGTGCCTGGGCTGCTCTCTCCTTTCAAC